CTGTATGGCTTCCTTGGAGAACGCTACCATTAGTGCTATGCACTCTACTACCCACAAGGAAATGACCACAACATGACAAAATAATATGTCCTGACGATAAAGGTCTTTACAATAACCGCCAGTTTACAAGTCAAACTGTCCTGTAGATGATGACCTAGGAACTGACGCATTCCATCGCAATCGATCTTCTCTGTGACTTCTGGTCGAAGTAAGCCATCCTCCCCTCCCCCCAGACGGTAGTGACACGGATGTGTACTATGACAACTCTTGTTGGTGGTGGTGATGTTTGTTATAGATGCTACACTGGACGCTACGATTGATACATGTTTATAGCTGTTAACACTGGTAATGTTATACGTGCTAACACATGTTTTTAATTACACTGTTCTCTGTTTTAATGTTGTTTTAGATGTAGTCCTTCTGTCTGTAAACACAATTTCCTTGATAGCGGTTGTTATGTTCGACATGTTTTTCTATGGCATTGTTCTTTAACTGTTGTGTTGGATGTAGTTTTCCTGACTGTTAACACCATTCCTTCATTTTTCATATTATAAACACCGTGCACTATCAACACTATTATTGATATGATGCTTAAGTGTACCAATACCAGTGTGGCCTTGTTACTAAGACTATCGTTTTTGTTGAAATTACACACGCCATGCCGATGTTAAAATTTATACACACCATTGTTGATATTACCTTATAAACATCATTGTTGATGTGGCTATTGTAAATACCGTCAGTGATGTGGCTGCTATAGACACCGTGTTTCGTGTGGCTACTGTAAACACTGTGACTGATATGACTGCTGTAAACACCATGATTTATGTGACTGCTATAAACACCATGATTCATGTCACTACTATAAACACCATGATTTATATCGCTGCTATAAAACCATGATTCACGTGCCTGCTATAAACATCGTCATTGGTGTGGCCGCTATAAACAGCGCTGTTAATGTGGCTGCTGTAAATATTCATTTGATGTGGCCACTTTAAACGTAATTTGGTAATGTAGCTACTATACATGCCATGGTTGGTGTAGGCTGCTATAAATATTCCTTTGATGTGGCAATCATAAACATCACTGTTTATGTGGCTGCTATAAATAATCCTTTGATGTGGTCACCATACACATCACTGTTTATGAGGCTGCTAAAAATATTCCTTTTGATGTAGTCACCATAAACATCACTGTTAATGTGGCTGCTATAAATAATCCTTTGATATGGCCACCATAAACATCACTGTTTATAAGGATGCTACAAATATTCCTTTTAATGTAGTCACCATAAACATCACTGTTCATGTGGCTGCTATAAATATTCCTTTGATGTGGTCACCATAAACATCACTGTTTATGTGGCTGCTATAAATATTCCTTTGATGCATTCACCATAAACATCACTGTAAATGTGGCTGCTATAAATACCCTGTTAGTGTAGTCACTATGTACATTCCTGTTAATGTGGCTGCTATAATTTGTTTTCTGTATTATGTAACTCTTTTACTCCTATGTAGTTAGTACTTTAACACTTTATATCCTACAGTTTGTATGCTTTTGAGCAACAACTGCTTCTTCTTCTTCTTAAAGTCTATGCTGTGTGACGTTGGTTGTCATGTCTGTCCACAACCTTCTCTCTTATGTACTTTCAAACAGCTCTGACACAGATGATCTCCCATGCCATGATGTCAAACTTTCCTGCATCTGTTCTCTCGGTATCCCTCTGCCTCTCCTTCCCTCCAACTTTCCTACCACCACGACGTACTCCAGTTTTCTCCTTCTCATCACATGACCAAAAAAATGTAGATTGTCTTTTTCTGATGTGGGCAATCAGTTCTCTTCGTGAGTAAATTTCTGTCAAGACGTCTTCATTACTCCTTTTATCTGTCAAGGGAATTCTCACCATTCGTCTATAAAACCACATCTCCGTAGATTCCAAATAAGTTGTCACTAATTTAATAACTGTTAATGATTCACGTCCGTATACCAAAATAGGATTTATATAACTTTTAAGAATTCTCTTTCTTGTGTCAATTGACACAGAAAGATTGCTAAAATATTCTTTATTTTGTAACATGCTACCTTTGCTTGAGCTATTCGACATTTAACTATCTTAATACATCTTCCATTACATTCATCACCTCTTGCAGTGATCAAAACTGTAACTGTTTAGTATTTTTTTTAAACCACTCACAGTTTTGAGTAAAAGTTATAGAACAAATGAAGTAGAATAGCTTAACACAATACATGAACGTTACCAAAAAAAAATTTATATATATATGTAAGAAATATAAAGTCAAGTAAAGATCCTTTTTTACGCCTTTTAAACGTATCAGGTATTTGGGAAGAGCATCCCATATTTGTACAGACCATCAGCACAAGGTGGGTAATATGGTCAGCATTACGCCGGCGTCTTTACCTTCCCAATACAGAGAAAGAATGGCTGTAGTTTAGCCTATTCAGTCCTCAGTGAATACATAGCTGTATGGTACACAAGGAGATTTGAACTGCACGATAACCTTCATAAAGGCTACTAGCCTCGAGATATAGGTTTTCTGACTTAAGGAGCGAAGAAAAGGAAAAAGAAGAAAAAATAAATAAAGAAAGAAGAAGTAGAAGAACAAGAAGAAGAAAGAAGATAAAGAAGAGGAGGGGAAAGAGGAAGATGTAAAGGAAAAGGGAAAAATAAGAAGAAGCGAAAGAAAAGTAAGAAGAGGGAAAAAAAAAGAGGAAAACCAGGAAGAGGAAGAAAGGTAAGAAGATGAAGAAAAGAAGATCAAGAGGAAGAGTAGGAAGAATTAGAGGAAGGGGAGGAGGAAGAAGAAGAGGTGGCAAACATTGGTTTAAATCATCCAGTTAGTCATCGGGAGACGCTGCCGCCGGTCTGAAAATCTTGCTTTCGAATCTTCATCGAGATAGATTGTTTTAATTATTCGATGACTGCCCGCTTGACCAGCCTGAATTGGGTACTGTGAAATGGCCTAGGATGTGAAGAGTCGAAGTGATGTCCACCTCATTGTCCTTTGTGTGGAGATTGGTCTATCAAAATTTGCGTCTAGCATCAAATGTTTCCATGGAATTGGACGGAAGGGAGAAATACACTGCTAACCAGATGTGATATATAATAGCACAACAGGGCAAGGAATGAATGAATCATATGGCCAGTGCGCTAATAACACGAAAAGGGTCTTAACTTGCTTCCTCTTCTTCTTCAGCATTCAGAGCCCTTGAGGTTCTTTGTTGCACAAATCACCTGCCTCCTTTCATCTCTGTAAACTACCTCTTTCCATTCAGTGACTCGGAGTTTTTATAGATCTGTCTGTACATTATCTCTCCACCTTCTTCTTGATCTGCTTCGGGGTCTGCTCCCTTTAATCTCTTTTGTGTACTCAGTTGTTGCCTCTCCGCCGCTCTCATTTTCTTCATATGCCCCAGAGATCGCAGTCTGTTCGCCTTCATGAGGTCAGTTATTAGTGTGTTTTTTAACACATATTACGAATTTCATCTCCTAATTTTTCTCTTTTTACACCAAGGAATTATTACGATTATTACTTGATCATTTTGGTGGTCCTTTAGAACTCACACGATACAAGTCCGGCCTAGGATATATGAAATACGAGGTAGTCATTCTCACTAATCTTTCTCCATGAACACCAATTCATGTTTATGTGCTCTCGTCTGCTTGATCACCCTGTGTTCTTTTCCCGTTGTCGGTTTCAAGCATAATCAGATACAAGGTTATATATAAACAGAGCGTGAAGACTTTGTGAGCTGTTTTCACATGAATACTAGTCAGTTGTTTCGCCATATCTGCGCCCATGTTGATTTGCATTTTCCAATTGAGGCTTGGACTAAAGTGATATATTTTGAATGTTTCAGAAACTACAACACTCTATGTAGTTTCATTAGTTGTGATTACTTATATATGTGAGACATTGTTGGTACGTGGCGTGCCTAGGACAGTGTAGTTTGTTACCGCATTTATACACAAAAATGTCCCGAAAGGTGAACCAAACCACAGACTATTTGCCATCGCTTAAGAAGAAAGGTTATTGGATTATAAGCGGTTTTTATAATCGGAATTACTTGTCCAGGGTAAAGCGTGAACAGTTTCATTTCACAACATCAGCGGAGAGTATCATTGGAAAGGAGACAAAAGTAGGCATTGCTGGTGATTCGGTGCTGATCTGTGTGCATGTTAATTAAGTGTGTGGAATATTTGCTGTTTAATCGCAATGTTTCGCTGAGACGGTTTCTGTTTACGTGACTTTGCGGTTTTTTATTGTTCTCACGAGGAGTGTCAGATGTGTGCTTTATCTCACGCGAACGTTTAAATGGGGGTTTTCCCCTTTAATAATTTAGAGAGACAACAGCTGTTTTAATTAATGTTGAGAGAGAGAGAGAGAGAGAGAGAGAGAGAGAGAGAGAGAGAGAGAGAGAGGTAATTTAAGTGTTTCTGACAGAGGCAAAGGCACGAAAACAGCTTATCACAAACGTAAAGAAGAGAGTTATATGGGGGTGGACATGGATTAAGGGGGTGGGGGGGGGGGGGTTCTATAAGAAGATTTAAATGGAAGCATGATATAGCAACTGGAAAGCACAACAAAACTGCCGTAAAATCTTGTTGCGCCCACAATCACACTATCCGTCTTTCATTGTAATATCACCTTAGTTTAATCCTTTTTAACAGAACATATATAGATGCTCAACATCTTACACTGAAGCGGTCAAAAATAGTTTTTATCACTTTTTTAAACCGTAATATTTAAACACCCCTTTCCATTTCATGTTTTCGAATATCTTGTCTTTCATAGTATGGATTACCTGTCTATATAATCTACCCCCGACCCATTTCCCGCCATGATGAACATTTTTTCCCTCGAAACTCTGAATTTGTGCGTCTGTTCTTTCTTTGTGTTACAGTTCCTAAGCGTATGTAATTTATTTTCTGCTTTTTAAACTAGACTAACCTACTCAAATGTTTTTGTCCTCAGTCATACATCGAGAAAGGAAATGACCTTCTAGAAGAGGCAAGCATGCTGTCACAGTGTGGCAGCTTCTCAGAAGCCACGGGTTACAAGGATCTGGCCAAAACGCTGAGGAGGCAGCTGCAGAACTTCACCGGCCAATTAGAGGAGGCCAGAGAGAGGATAGAGGGAACTGCCAAATGTTACCATCTTCTAGACAAGGTAAGTCTACCAGTTTCTCAAGCGCGGATCGTTTTTAAGAACTTTTTTTTTTTCTACGAAGACGCGAGCATTAATCAGATTTTTTCCCCTGATTCTTTCTCTCTCTCTCTCTCTCTCTCTCTCTCTCTCTCTCTCTCTCTCTCTCTCTCTCTCTCTCTCTCTCTCTCTCTCTCTCTCCCCTCCCTCCCCCCCCCCCCCCCCCCCCCGCTTTCTAAACTAGCAGATTCATTTTGAGCAGGGTGTGTTCCCAGTAAAATCTGTCCCAATTGATGTCATCAGATTGATAATTCCCAGCCCTGCCAGATGTAAATTGTCTGCACATTTTCCCATGCTAATTATTAATTTACGAAACATTCAGCGTGTTGATGTCCCTTGTTAGATTGTCTCTGGCAATTTCTAGTCGCAAGAGGATGTGGAGAGAAATTGGCGCTGGTGGTGACGAGTAGTTCTGAGTGTCGCCTGGCAGTATATGTGATTTCTGTAGTTCTGTATTATGTCTAGATGTGTATAATGTATAAAATTGTGCATTTTGTCAGACTGCATAATTATTGTAGCTCCAGGGTTTTTGCGTCTCTGTATAATTACTATCGTTCTCGTTTTTTGTGTGTATCAAATTACTGTAGTTCTCGGTTTTGTTCGACTGTGTATAATTACTACAGTTATCGGTTTTGTCTAACAGAATAATTACTGTAGTTCTCGGTTTTGTCTGACTGCGTATAATTACTGTAGTTCTCGGTTTTGTCCAACTGTAAAATTACTGTAGTTCTGACTGTATATAATTACTATAATTCCCGGGTCTGTATGACTGTATAATTACTAAAATTCTCTTTTTTTTTTTTTCAGACTGTTTAATTACTAAAATTCTCGAGGTCTTCCCCCCCCCCCACCCCCCAGACTATATAATTACTAAAACTCTCGGTTTTGTCTGTATATAATTACTAAAACTCTCGGTTTTGTCTGACTGTTTAATTACTGCAGTTTTCGGTTTTGTCTGACCTGTATAATTGCTATACTTAACTTTGATATGCTTCTTGTCCAAGTTTTATCTGAGCGCTGCGAGTCAGTTGTCTGGTTGTTCTAGTGTCTGCATTTAACATAGGCGTTTAACCTAAAATTAGACCTAACGCAAAAAAAAAAAAAGACCTTATGGGATTTTCAGGATGCTGGTAATAAAAGCCCATCCCAGATTTTCCATATAAGTACATGTACTGTTTTGTTTTTAAGGGAAATGGTACTAGCAAGTTTGTTTCCTGCATTATTAAAACCTGAACTTTACTGCTTTTTTAAAGGGCCTTTTAGACGAGTGTAGGGCGAGTGGGTCTTTTTTTAAGCCTGGGACTAGGGCCTGCATAGTTAGTTGAGTTACTACTGTCATCGTCGTCATCCTCTTCTTCTTCTTCTTCTTCTTCTTCTTCTTCTTCTTCTTCTTCTTCTTCTTCTTCTTCTTCTTCTTCTTCTTCTTCTTCGTCATCATCATCTTCTTCTTCTTCTTCTTTTTCTTCTTCTTCTTTCTTTCTTTTTCTTCTTATTCTTCCTTCTTCATCACTACTTTCTCCTTTGTCGGTTCGGCTGTCAAGGGAGGCAAAAGGTTCTACTTCTTGCACTTCTTCTTCTTCTTCTTCTTCTTCTTCTTCTTCTTCTTCTTCTTCTTCTTCTTCTTCTTCTTCTTCTTCTTCTTCTTCTTCGTCATCATCATCTTCTTCTTCTTCTTCTTCTTTTTCTTCTTCTTCTTCTTCTTTCTTTCTTTCTTTCTTTTTCTTCTTATTCTTCCTTCTTCATCACCACTTTCTCCTTTGTCGGTTCGGCTGTCAAGAGAGGCAAAAGGTTCTACTTCTTGCACTTCTAGCCGCCCCGCGACCACATACACATCAAGCTTTTGTAGAATTTCTCTTGACATTATCTTTCCATGTGGAAATTGGTCTACCTCGTGCTCACCGTCCATTCCCTCTAGTGTATGTCTTGTATAGTATGGCGTCACAGGGCACTCTCTAAGCGGGCAAACCATTTGCTTTGCTATCTTTGTATATAATTTAGAATTGGTTCTGTGCCGACCTTTCTCTTATGACATTATGCCTGATTTTGTCGCTTCTGGCGATGCAGTAGATATATTTACCGATAGCCACGCATGTTCATACTATGCCTCCGCTGGCCTTGAATAGGTCCTGTCTTTTTTCTTCCGAGAAGCAAGGGCAGTGTACTATCTTTAGACTAACATCTAAAGATAGCCCGTGACAAAGGTTATAAACAAGCCTCTGATAGCTGTAAATACGTCAACAACAGTCTTAAATCTCCTGGAAGTTGAAGTATGCATGTGTGACGTTTCTGGAAACTTTCGGAGATTCAGCCGTGCCATTAACCTTCGCATAACGACAGACCAACGCCTCCTGTTTGATTGTCGGAATAACATTCTTCAAAAGGATTTCCTCTGAGAGACCTTTCTGATGACTGTGCAGAAGGGAAGAAACACTGGCCCCACTATTTTGTGTCAGACATTCCAGAGCGCCATTACAAACACACACAGATATAAAGCTGTCTGTACACATCCACACGCGACCCAATCGGATTGTGTTAAAGGTCAGGGTTTTAGCCGATGTCAAGGCTGGATTCATGACCTTCACCTTTTTTTTTTTTTTTTTTGTTGAAAAGGCGTTTTATTATAGTGCAGAGAAGATCGCCTGGGGATCCGAAGTTCGTAGGTTCGAATCCGAACGGAGCCAGATGTTTTTTTTTCAAAGACCTTGGCTGCCAGACTTGAGTAGGTACCAGGTGAATTTTTTGGGAAATAAAAGCGACCGGTGTGATGTTGACCCCATCCCTCATCCAGTTCCGATTGGTCTATAAAATATATGTCTAGCCCTATATGCCCAACAGGCCTGAAGACGTGGATAAGGGTCCTTAACTTGATTACAGTGAAGACCACTTAATTGACGATCTCAGATCCGGCGAATTTCTGTTGCAAACAAGTCTGTTTATCGCCGGCAGTTTTTCTTATTGTCTTTGTTTTTTAAAAAAATGCTTGGTTGACCGGAATACGTTTATTGCGCATTTTCGGATATGCCGAACGATTAATCATGTCGCGACAGTATGTTTGTTTGCGTTCCCCGGGGGTAAACCTCGGCAGAAAGACCTGGTTGTTCGCCCGTTTCTAGACTTTGGCTTTGTTCCAGGACCTGCGGTTTGAGGTTGCACCCGTTTTACAAATCTTGCTTATTTTTATTCTGACTGTTGGTACCTTGCCTCTCAGACAGATGTACTTCAGCTTTGAAGGAAGCCCTCAATTAGTCGACTCCTTCGACAGTTTGTTGGGGAGACAGTGGGTCTGTTTTCGTTCCCCCCCCCCCCCCAGTGGAGATCCAGGAACCCACACGGGGAATAACCCGACAGTATCATTTGATCTCAATAAGGGAAACTGTTTTCAACTACTTGGACATTTGTAGAACTTATTCCTTTTCATAAACGCTCTAACCCTATCTTTAGCAGCGAGCACAGAGTTCTAATTCCGATGGTGCCAGTAACAGTCTGACTGTATGTCTTGCTCACCCCTCCCAATGAGTGCTGAGCGTCGGCCAGATTCCCTGCTCACTCCTGGCGGCACCATTCTAGTCACACTGTTTGTACCTCCGCACTGTTCACCCGCTCCCACAGGGCTCTTACAACATCTGGCTTGTTGTTCATAGATTTACCAGCAGGTGGTGCAGTCAGTCTATGTGCTCGTTCAGGAATAGAATATCCCAAAGGAATGTTGGAGTGTTTGGTATTCTGTCATTAAAAAATATCTACATCAGAAATGATTGGCAATACCTGGGTGGAGAAGGGAAGTGGGGGGGGGGGGAGGCGTGTGTTGTGGGGGGGGGGAATGGCCCAGCATAATGAGCATTGCCGCACGGCGGCCTTTACTGTGTGAGAAGAGGGAGATTTGAAATTTTAACCAACGGATCAACATCATGGCACACGGGTGTAACTCATATAAGTGTTCTGTTCTTCTAACTCAAGTCTGAGTCTAAAGAAGCTCAGCACAGTGCACAGGCTATGTAGCACCGGCGAGGACCCTGAAATATTTTTGGTAGATTTTTAACTCCAAATTTGTCCGGGCAGTGCCGTTAGGCTACTCTTTTCGATTTCCAACTACCAAGAGATTTTTTTGTTACGTGCTCAATAAGGCACATGGGCGTCAGATCTCACCACCCAGAGACCAGCAGAAGTCTAAGTCCACGTGAAAAAATCCCAGCCCCTACCGGGGATTGAACTCAGAACCTCTAGCACTCGAGGTGGACACCATGCCTCGCAACCACGCAGTGCCCTCTGAGAATATTGTTTACATCGTGAGAAGTGATTGTGTGTTTACATTGGCCGACTACGCAGTACTTAGCCCAAGCGCCAATTGAGTCAAGGAAAGTTAGTTAGTTAGTCTTTCCTCTTGTGTCGAGTGCGGCACATAGGGCAGAGGTCGTGACTCTCCATGCACGGCGGTCCGTTGCAATCCGTTGTAGGTCTTGGATGTTTGAGTGGCCCATGAGCGAGCCTTCCCTGATGATAGTTCTACGTAGGGTTTCCCTTGGTCTTCCACGAGATCTAAGGAAAGTAAGTATTCAATTAGTGAGGGATGTTCTAAACAAGGGAATCCCATAAATGAGAAGGGCACCGGGGCTGGGTAAAATTGGCACAACTAACAAAGGAAAACGTCTGCCAGTGTTTTTTTTTTTTTTTGCTTGTGGTCAAAAATAAAGCGGCGGAAAAGGGTTGTCAGTCTACGAACTGTTGACAGTTGGTTTCATTTGCCAGAAAGTTCGTTGCCCCGTGTCTTTAGCTGGCACGACGCCCTAAGAGCCAGTGTTTAAACTAGACTGTCTTCCCTGGGTTGCTTTCAGTGTCGCCTGTCATCTGACTTGGCTAGTGTCGGTAAACCTTATAGGGCCTTTTTTGTTTTGGCTCGCTAGTAGTGTATGAAGATTCATCGTCATATATTGCCCAGAAACTATTTTTAATAAGTACATTTGTTT